AAAATGGCAGTAAATAAAACAACAACAAAAATACAGCAACAAACAAAAAAGAAGCACCGAGAAGCGTAGAAGAAATTAACGAGCAAACGATTTTTATGGCAGCATTTTGTGCCTTAAAGCGCTTAATGCGATTTATGTGCATGTTTATTTGTGTGTGTGTGTGTGTGCCCTGTGTGTGTTAGTTGAAAATTGTTTTTTTGTGTGTAAAAATGACAAGCTACGAAAGTTTGAAGCGCAATTTATGTTCGTTTTAAATTGAATTTCCAAATTTATTGCTGCAATTTTCTGTGTCTGTCGGTGTGTGCCGGTGTGTGCCGGAAACGGAAGTGCTTTTGCTAGTGTGCGTTGTAAATTTCATTGTCATGTAGCAGAAATAACATTAATTAAGCAAAAACTAAGTACGGCTGGGGCCTTGCCTTGAGGGCCAAAAACTGAATTTAAATTTGCGTCTCTGCGAAATAATTGCCTAAATAATTAAACAGAAAATTTGGGTAGACGAAGTAGCAGCAGACTTTAGCCAGGAAAAGCCTTAAGAAAGGTCAATCAACTTGTTCTTTTGGGGGATATCCCGGGCAGACGACCCGCAGACGCTGGGCCCAAAGAGGACATGCAAAATGCTCAAGCAACAGGCAACAGGCAACAGGCAAACAGAGAGAAAGGACTAAAAAAAAAACAGGGCAAAGGATGGAAAAAAGTTACGAGTCAGCAAACGGCGAGCACAAAAGGTTGACGAGGCAAGGACCTTTTTTTTGTAGCAGGTTGACTGCCGCCTCAAGGATGTTGTCGCAGGAGCAGCAGCAACAATGTTTGTGGCTCATTCCTCTGGGAGGGGGGGGCAGGCAGAAAGGGTCAAGTGCGAGCGCGTGGCTGGACAGGGCGGGGCGGGGGCAAGGACATTCAACCGAAAAAGGGTTAACGTTGAACCTGGCTTCCTTGTTCGCTCTGCGTCCTCGGAGTCCTTCTGGTAATGAAGCTCATTGCCCTTTTTATTAGACGCAAAAGAAGTTGCTGCCTGCTGCTGCCACTTGTCCTTGTTTTTTCCCTCTTTTTTTTTTGAGGGTATTTTTATGGCACTGCCCCTTGTCGACCTTGACCTGCTGCCTCACAGGCAGACCTTGAACTTGGCACTGCCCTTCCCTCTCCCAAGCGCTCTTTGCTTTTTTTATTTCTACTTTTCCCCCGTCCACTTGGCTTGGATTTCAATGAAGAGGCGCCGCGGGCCTGGGTTGTGGCAGCGTGGCAGCGTGGCAGCGTGGCAGCAACTGTTGCCTGTTGCGTGGCTGCTGCTGCTTTCATTGTTCGACTTAAGACCCACACGGGGATCGTCTCTCTGGCCCTGTCTGTCCGCTCAGTCTTTCATAACGTTGAAAAAAAGCAGCAGCAACCGCAACATGAGCCAGGCAAGGGACTCGGGACAGGTTGCCTCTGCTGCTGCTGCCTCACGTGCTGCGTGTGCCAAAAGTCGCCTTCTCCTCTTACAGTTTGGGACATCGGCAAGTGCCAAGTGGCAGAGAGACTCCTCCTCTGCTGTTTCTGTTGCTGTTGCTGTTGGGCTGCCTCCAATGCGGACAGTTGGACGACAAATTGTCTGGCAGCAGCAGCAGCAGCAGCAACCTGGCAGCAGTCCGCAGTCCGGCAGCAGTGTGTCTGCCACAGGCCCGTTGTGGCTCTGTTTTTTACGAGCTGCATGTAAGCTCTCCTCTTGTATCGCCATCGCACGTAGGAGTCGGGTTGTACCCTCCATCTGCTGTAGCTGCTGCTGCTGTCACGGTTGGTGGTGCCGGGACGGGCCTCGGGTCTCTGTTCTCTGTTCTCTGGTCTCTGGTCTCTGGTCCGTGTGTCTGCCACTGAGGTAGCCGTCTTGGCGCCACACAACATGTTGCTGCTGCTGTTGGCATTTACGATTATGTCTGGCCTCCTCCTCCTGCGCTCTGTTTGTTTTTGAGTGATGGCCAAAGGTGTGGCCAAAGTCTTAAAGAGCCTTCGCTTTGACATTGTGGCAGTTGGTGGCTGGGGCCGTTGGCAAACCCGTTGAGTGGCTTTTCACGTTTGCGGCGCCTAATTAGACGTTAAGTGCCACGGTTCGGCTTTTCAATTGAAGTTGCCACAGGCCAGGGAGCTGCTGCTCCTTCGTTGTTCGCTGTCCAAACATTGTGACAGCGACTGCGATTGCATCGCATGGGGCATGTGGCATGTGGCATGGAGCATGTCTGTTGACTAATTGCTGCTGGACAGACACAAGGTGGGTGGAATCACATGGCTTTGAAAAAAGTGCACCAAATGTGCATTACACTGTGCAACAAAGTAGGGAAAGTGCGTGGCTTGTGGTGCAGTAAATTGTTGCTTGGGTCATGGAGAGACTTTAGATGAAAGTTTGTTTAAATATAAATATAAATAAACATTCGGATAATCATTTAGATAACTCTTTGGAGCCAAATTTCATAAAAATAAATCACTAATTTGGTTTTTGTTTGGATTAATGTTTCTGTGAGACAATTTCCAAACAAGTTCCAAATGTTTTCCATGTGTTCTTATTGTTTTTCTCATTATTATAATACTGAAATGTATTTATTTTCAGTTTTTTACTAATTTTATTTATTTTATTTACTATTTTCTTGCGTCTGTTGAAGTTTTTGCTCTTATATGAATTATTTAGCAACGTTTTAGAGGATTTTTCATGGAATATTCCAGCAATTAATGGTTCTATTAGCTCCCCATTAGATTATGCGAAGAATTTTCTATGGAAATTTCATTCCTGTTGCCCCCAAAGTTCGGCCCAGCTAATTCCCCCCTCAATAATTCCTTATACTAATTGAAAGCCCCAACCTTCATAGCCTCTCTGCAAGGAATAAAAGAACTTAATTCAATTAAAAAGTCACCAAAAATAGCCTAAAACCTCATCTTGCAGTTCAGTGTATAATTTTGAATGCTGTTTGGCCTGAATGATGACAAATTCCAGCCGCATTCCATATGCAGATTAAGCAGAGAGACAGAAACAGAGAGCAGGGAGGAGTGCCGAGAGCAGAGAGAGCGTGCAACAAGTTGCTGGCCAAAGTACAGAGCCAAACATTTGGCCTCTGACTCCCGAATGAGAGTAGGAATGGGAGCGCCACAGAGGGGGTTCAAGTCCAGGTCCAGGTCCAGGTCCAGGTTTTGGTCTGCCAAAACAATGGACAGCCGCACCACCCACCAGGGCCAAAAAGTGTTGGTAACTGCATTCAGACATGAAGGCCAAAAAAGGCCGGCGACCGTGGCGAGGCCGTGCAGTGCAGCTCGCGGCTGGCGTGGCAGGCGTCAAAGCATGCCACAGGAGTGGGAGTCGTGGTCATGGGCACTGGCAATGTGGCAGGCAAATCCCGTTGCCTCGCTGCTTGTCGACTGCCAATGGATTTTCCACTCTTTTGCTGTTTTTGCATGGCAAAGGTCATGGCTGGGGGCGACCTGCATTTTGGCAGCAACAACAAGCAAAAGCAACAAACTGCAGTGGCAGCACACCCATGTGGCAGCCACAGCCACAGCCACAGTCGTATCGGTGTCCGTGTCCGTGTCCGTGTCCGTGTCACTGGGCCACCGAACAGCAAAAAAATAAAGCAAGAAGCAGGAACAAACGCTTCACTTTCCATGGCACAGGCAGACATTTGTGGCAGGAAAACTTTGCACAGCAGCAGAGTGGGAAGAGGGGGCAGAGGGAGGAGGCAGCGTGTAGCAGCTGCAGACAAAGTCTCTCCGCAGCCAAAGAGTCTCGAAACTTGAAGAACATTTTGCCAGCGTGTGTTGGGCAATGTTGGAGGCATGCAACCAAGCTGTAGCAGGCACACACAAAGAGCAGGCAACTTGTTGCGCCATTTTATTGGAGCCAGAGAACGTGGAGCCACTGGCATGTCTTCGCTGGCACTTTTTATGCCCGGCTTGAGTGTGGGGAGTCACTGTTGTGCGTCGTGTGGCAATGATGACATAATCAACGCTTCATTGACGCTTACAACCCACTCCTGGCCTCCCACTTTGCCCGCCACTCCCTCCAACCCATGCCGCACATCCATCATTATGCCACTTATGGCAGAACTCAAAGCAAATGCCTATTGCCAGTGCCACTTGCCACTTGCCACTTGTGGCTGTTGGCATTCATTGGATATTAACTTGTGTCAACTTTTTACTACAGAGGCCCACGGCAGCGACCTTGAGCAGAGACACAGCCACAGCCACAGCCACAGCGGAGGATATTGCGTGCTGTGCCAAAGGGAATCCCCTGCCCGTCTAAGGTCAAAGTCAAATGGCAGCGCCACTGACTCTGGATCTGCCAGCGTCCCACGCCGCCGTTACCAGTCCCTGCCTCTGTGGGTCTGCGTCTCGTGTCTTTCGTTTCTACGTGCGGCATGTGGCAGGCACTGCACAAGTGGTCCGCCCTTGAAGGGACTCCGAGAGCCAGAGCCGCCGCCGCAGCGTAACTTTGTCTGTTTTGCAACCCGAACCCCCCAGCCTCAGCCTTGCCTTTGCCTTTGTGCCTGGCTTTCCCTTCTTTTTTTGTTCCTGGCTGGTTTTTACGATGGTGACCCCCAGAGCTACGTGCGGCGACAGCGTCTGGTGTCTGCGGGCGGGAGATTATGCCCGGGTCTCTGTCTGTCTGCTGCCTCTTTTTGGGGGAACCCGGCAACGACAGACAGCCAACGGCAGTGACTGGCTGCCAACAGAGGATGACGACGATTTTGCCCGGCTGGCTGGCTGGCATCCCAGACAATGCCGGGGCGTGATGACGTTGAAAATGTGGCAGTCAGCTTGGGTGTACTCTTTTGGGGTAATCTTACAACCGCAGACACTCTGTCGTCGCGTGACTTAATTAGTTCCGTTTCCATAATTGAAAGGCAAAGTGGCAAAGGAAGAGCTTCAAATGGAGTCAGGGAAGACATTCAACTGGTAGGTAAACTCGTTATCCAATTGAAGACAAATCCCACATTTAAGTGCCAAATTTTGACATAATAAAAGCAAAGCCAAACTCGACTTACCCCAGTTGTTGGTGTCCCATTGCCTGCAGCATTGATTCCTGTGGCATTGGCGCCGGCATTTCCGTTATTTCCGGCTGACTTTCCCTTGCCGCGGCCGCGCTTCGAATCGGGTCGAACGGGCTGACCATCGGCACCATAGATTATCTGCAAATGGTGCAACAAGAGAACATGAAAATAAATAGAAAATAAATAGAAAATAAATAAGAAAATGGGGGAAACTAAGTATTAGCCACTGTTGATTTCAATTAAATGATATGAACTTATACTTAAACCAAAACTAAAGCATTTATTCCTCTCCTTCATGCCTTTTTTTTTACCATTTTTATTTGGTATTATTTATTTATTTAATTTAAGTCCAAGTTTTAATTTGCCGCCAAAGCTGTACGGGTGGTTCGTGCATTTGCTAAGTGGTTGCTATACCAACTAAATGTTGCGAAACAAATTCTATCCTCACTTCAAACCCTAGCCGTGGCGCCACCTGCATGTGATGGCTGTTTTCAGCTACTGGCACAGCGCCATCTAGTAGCTACTGCACGAAACAATCGATGTAGTTGCAGAGCGCTGGCTGTGTCTCATGTCTTCACCGCATAAATACTGTAAATTACATTTTACATTGTATTCTACAGCATAATTACATGTTATCGATTTGGCGCAGTTATCATTTTTAAATAATAAAGTGTACACAGAAAGATGTTTTGCTGGCGTGAAACTACAGAATTATTTTGCAATTTGCATGAATAATTTCTCATTTAATCTGCTGAATAATGTACGATTTTGATAATGAAAACCCTACAAAGGAGTATGGAAATATTTGGATGGAAATATTTTCTGTACCAAAAGATGCTCTAAGCCTCTAAAAACTGTCGCAAATTGTTTTAAACTACTTATGACTAATAAATAAAGTGCATAAATCTCCCCGCCTGTCGAAATAAATGCTAGAAAACGCCAGAAGAAATGTTGGATACTTCCCCAATTTAAATCAGAACAAAGTACCACATCCTGAACTGCACTTCACTTTTATCCACTTTGCAACCCTCAAAATTAAGTCCCAAATATGCATACATTTTCCACATTCAACGAAAAGAAGAACAACCAGTTGAATAATGACAACGAACCTCGCGCTCGCTCTCGCTCTCTCTATATCTGTGGGAATGTGTGCTGCTCTCATATTAAATTACTTTCCATATGGAAAACGGAACGAAAGTGCCCCGCAAGAGCCAGCCATAGATAATTCCGTGAGGCATGAACCACACACAATCATTTCTGAAGAAGCGGTTTTAAAACCGCCTGTTGGACCCAGAGACTCGGCATCCAAATCTATTTCCGGCGCAGAGAGAGAGAGAGAGAGAAATGTCTGAGAAATCATAAATATCAGAAACTGAGATCCAAACGGGAGCCATTAGTTGTGCTGTTGGAGGAAAAACTAAGGAACCGAGCAGCAATGGAAAATTTCAATGGTTTGTGTGCTTGTGCGTGTGCGCAGGCGTGCCCCTTGTGCCCCTCCGGGCGCTGGTTGTGCCTCACATGCAGACGAAAATAGATGCCGAAGGGCGACATATGGTTCCAGACAGCTTCGCAGGAGTGCCTCTGGAATGCTCCGCTTGTCTGCGCGACTGCCACATCGGGGATCTTTATTCTTTTTTTGGGGTCTGATTGACAGCCGCTGCATCTTAACGGAAAATAAGCGACGCCATCTTACCATCCCCCTCTGCGCATGCTCCCCTCCAAGCTGCACCATTTTCCTGCCTGCCTGCCTGCCTGCCTGCCTGCCTGCCTGCCTGCCTGTGGCAGTCGCCACAAATTTTACATTGTTGGCACGCGCAGGCGCGCACACATGTTGCCACAACGTCAATCTCATTGCAGATGGGGCAGGCTGGGAATGGTGTGCAACAAGGGAGAGAGTGCGTCTGCGTACATGATGCTCCCCCCTGCTCCTTCCTCCTCTTTGCGTTGCCACTCGGTTTACAATTTTAGCAGCCGTTGTCATTTCGGAAGCAATTATTTTAATGCAGAGTCGAGAGCCCAGAGCCCAGAGCCGAGCACCAAACAGAGCCCAGAGAAAGAGAGACAGAGAGCGAGCGTGTGCCAGAGTTCCCCCCCAAATGCTGGATGTCACTTGGGCCTGGGGATTACCTACACAGAAGATGCTGTTGGGGTTGCTGCCTGCTGTGACTGCAGTTCTCTTGGGGCTGCTTGCATCTAAATTTAGTTTGGCTCTTGAGGTGTTTTCGGTTGAAATTGATACGAAACAAAGTACAGTTGCGCCTGGGGTACAGTTGTGCTTAGAAATGGCAGCCAGAGAGCACAGAGAAGCAGCGAGTGCGTCCACAAATAGATGGCAGTGGAAGAAAAGTGGCTGCTGGTTGGTACTTTTCGTGGCATAAAGTGATCTTGGAGGGACTAGAGAATTTCAACTGTGTAAAGGCAGACTTAGGAGTGCTTTTCGAAGATTTTATTAAAGAAACGTTTATTTAAACGAAGAAATTGCATGGCTTTTTGTAGAACTAAGAGAGAGTAAATATTCGAAGAGTTTTACTACTTATAAGTTATGATATTTTCAGCAATAACATTCAAGAAATTAAATATTTCAACAGAAAACTGCCAAGAAAACTATAGAACAATTCTCATAAATTCCCCAGACCACAGGCAGATACAACTTATTGGGTGGGACATCGCCTAGGCTCTCCCACAATCAAAAGAGCGCCACACAAAAGTAGGCACAACGACCTACAAAAATTGCGCCAAAAGTAGGCAGCCGACACGGCTCACACACAAGCACACAGCTGCACAGGACATGAATGAATCTTGTTGAAAGCTTCGTCACTTCTGGACTGGCAAACAAACAAACAGGACAAAAATCGATGACAGTTTATGCGCCTCGAAGTGGGAACCTTTTTTAAAATCAATTTTTTTTGTTTGCAGCTTCCTGTGTTGCGGCTGTTGAAAGATGCAAAAAGATGGCTCCTGGGCTCACGGCACTCCTGCCGTCATATTTTTGTTCGTTGTTGTTCTGTGACTTTATTAGCGCCAACAACAGGCAGCAGCAGAGGCAGGAGGCAAACAGAAGCAACAGCAACAGCAACAAAAAGCTGAACAAAAGGCCGCAAGAGCAGCAACAGAAAAGCAACAGCAAATCGCATGCCGACTTAATTGGGGCTATTAGTTTTTATTAAAAGGAAGCCCCTACTGATGAGATGAGAAAAGTGGCAGCTGCGGCGATCCAATAATGAGCTGCGCTACTCAAAGCTACAAGCCGCCGCCGGGCCAAGAGTGAAGAGTGGACGGGACTGCTGCGAAAGTGGAGTTTCGGTGGCGCAACAGGAGCAACAGGTAGCAGCTCTCCCCCCCCCGAAAGCACACAAAAACCGCAAGGGCCACACGCACACACACACAGACACCCCAGTTTTTGGGGCTGAATATTGAAATGAAGCGGCGATGAAGGAGAACCCTGACCTGGCCCAATGCTCGTAGGGTTTGTGGCAGGAAGCCGAGGAGCTGAAGCGGCCCCCCCACAACCACAACCACAACCACAACGGGAGACTTCTTTTATGACACAATATTTGGGGGAAACCACAACAAGCAGCCCTTCCCCTCTGTGTCTGCTGTCGCCCTTCCATAATGAGCCATAAAAAAAAGCTCCTTTGACAGCGCCGAAACGAACCAAAGCGAACCCCTTCCTCGTTTTCCTGTGTTGACGTATTGCCGAGGAGCCGCTCCTACTTGTTGCTCAATCGAATGCCCTCTTAAGGCGGCATTCCGAGGTTCATTCAACCCTCTAACAAAAAGAGTGTGGGCAAATCCTGACCTGTGCCAAAAAACCACATTAATTATTTCCACTCCACCTGGCGAGCAATTAGAGCAGCAGCCCAGCCCGTCAACCCTTTCGTTTGGGATGCTGAATGCCGGCTGGCTGGCTCCCTCCCCACACCATTTGTGGGTGGGCTGAGTGAATCGATTTTCATAGGCCAAACAATATTTCAAGGTTATACCTTAATCTGTGTTTATTTTGATTATCACTTTCGTACCCCTATGGCACCCGCGCCACAAAAGGAAACCAAAGCTTTTGCTGATTAGCCTTAGCCTCTGCCTTCTGCCTTCTGCCTTCTGAGGGGTTCGCGCGCGTCCTTGAAGTTTGCCCAAATAATTCTGCAGCTCTCTCTCTCTCTCTCTCTCTGCCTGTGTCCTCTCTGCTTGTCTGTGGCATGATTCACTGTCTCGGCGCGCAGCAACATGGCCGACGCCTCACAGGATTTGCTTTTTATGGCTTATAACCCATTTTGATTGCGGCTGTCAGCCTTTTCTTTTCTTTCTTTTTTGGCTGCTGTTTTTTTTTTGTGTTTTTTTGGGGGTTGACTTTGCCCAGAGGGTGGGTTTCTCGTTTCTCATTTGGTAATTGAAGCCAACCCCTATGTACAGTGCATACATAAATACATGCACATCTGTACATATATTTTCTGTCGGTGGGTACGAGGGTGGGTGGTAAATGCGTCATCGACCATTTGTTACACGTCATTTTGGATGCGAACAAATTTTCAATGTCAATTGCGAGACGAGCCAAGGCGACAATTCAGTCTCCCTCTCCCCTTTGCTTTGTGGCGTTCTCCCCCCGCGCCAGTTGAGTTGTAACCGTTTTGATATGTGCTAAAAAGCTCACTTCAAATGTTTATCAAGGTCAAGTTCAGGCAGCAAGGGCGGCAGCGCAAAACGGAGGGGGAAAAGGAAGTGTTTTATTGTTTGTTGAGGTAGCGGCGGCAAAATGAGTGATAAAAGGGGTATTCCAATGGAACAACAACAACAAGAAAAGCACTGAGGGAAGTGCAAAAGATGTGAAACAATGAGTGAAATGAGAGCACTTTTTGTTGCTGCCTTGTGACACAATTTTTGAGAGCTTTGAATGCGGTGCGGAAGGGGGGAATGCATGAACGGTAAGGGGCAGAGCTTAGTATCGGCATTTACTGTGGCTTCAAACGGCATTGAAATTGAGTGGAGTGGTGAGCAGAGCAGCGCAATTATGAGTCTTCTCTCTCCCGGCAGCTGGCTGCAGTAGGTGCGAGGGAGTTGGGGCGATCTTCACTCTCCGAAGGTGCGCTGGGAGTGTATTTTTGTTGTTGCATTAAGATGTGTGGCCTACACTGGGTCACAAA